TTTATGTAGGATGTACTGTTAGGATATTTACGGTCACCATGTGCCTTAGTTTGATGATGTCCTCAGAGTGAGGTCATGAAGGATTGTTATGCTAAACCCTGCAGGTGGATTAAGTGCAATAGCCTGTTTTTACCTAATGTAAATTACGTCCTTAATTTCGTAATGTTCATATTATTCTCGGAATCCAAAGTATAAGTCAATTTGTGTTCATTCACTCGATAAAAATATTATCGAAGCAAATCGTACTTAATCGAGCGGTAAATATGCTAATCTCGGGCTAATCGTGCGTGATCGTAAGCATAATTGTACTTAATGATTCCTTAAGTACATCAATTATGTTCATTTAAGTTTAAGTGTTCATTTGATCATCATATGTTCTTAAACATTGATCAATGCAGGGCTAGGGTGCTTAATTTTCTTCTAATCGCCTTAATCTAGGTTAATCACGCATAATCGAGCCCTAAGCGTGCTTAAGTATTTAATTAGCTCAAGTGGACAAAAGATTGGAGCAAGTCACGTGAATATCATCCTAATTGTACCATGTAACTATTTCACGCCAAGTGTTGGTGACTAAGCTAGAGAAAGGACACCTCGTGCCCTAGGGACGCGGCAAATGTCACGAGCTCATTGGCCGAGCATATTACTTCACATTTTCATCCAATTTCACCGCTTATAAATGCCAACGTTGGGACATATTTTAGCATATAAGCTAAGCTATTTCCTAAACATACCTTAAGCAAACAATAAACAAGATTAAGTTCATGTATGTTACTTGTATCATACCAAGTTCAAATTATGGGTCTAAGTTCATGTAATTCTGTTATGATTCTAACCCTGTTATGATGTTACTTGTATCATACCAAGTTCAAATTATGGGTCTAAGTTCATGTATTCTTCGAAAATGCTCTCGGGTGTGCATTTTAGGCCATATTATAACATCTCTTTATATAGCCAACTTCTCTCAAGCAAACCATGCATCATTAGTCTTTATTTAATGTGATATGTTCAGTTTTAAAAGATAGCCCGAGATAAGTTGTCGATTTGTTGAGGAAATGGCCAAGGGAAGTGGATCGTGCACGTAGCACGCGCCCACGGGCCGTGTCTTACCCTACTAGGGTATCTTTCATTGTGATCGACTTTGTTAGGGACATTTATGTTCCAAAAGCCTTTAAATGATACATTATGGTCCATCAACTCATGTTGCTCGAGAAAAGTTCAAGTTTGGTCGAGGGTACAAGTTAAGGCCATCGGACGCGCCTATCGCGCACGCCGTGGCCAATCACATCAATTTTCATGTTTTATCATGACCCTCAGGCCCATGTACATATAAATATGTTAATCATGTCATGTTATGTCATTTTGATCAAGGAAAGTGGCCGAACGGCCGGCAAGGGCCGGTCACGGCATGCTGCCGCACATAGCGGCCATGCCGGCAGTGCTGTCCCAGTGTCATGTATACGCGACCCCGAGACAGTCACCCGAGCCACGCACAGTCGACCTCGGGTCGTGCCATCAGCGCACCCGAGTAATTGCTACCATGCCTCAGTGAACCCGGGTAAGGTTCACAGGCCTCGGGACGTGCCCTACTGCACGCCCGAGCAATCAGGATGGCCCGGGACGTGCCCAACAGCACGCCCGCGTGCCCAGGGTCGCCCGGCAGCGCCCTGACAAGCCATAGTCGCACCCTAGACGCACGAGTCATGTCTGGCCGTGTCATTTCTCGCGCCAGTCGCACCTGGGTCGTGCCAGCCGCACGCCCAGTGCCCAGTTAGCCCGGGTACGCGCCTATCCCGCGTCCCTCGCGTCCCTCGCGTCCGGCCAGTGTCAGGGCCAGTGCCAGCCGCACTGCCCGCGCCGAGCAGCCTCTAGTGCCGAGGCCAGTCATGCCTAGCCTGTGTCCAGTGCCGTGCCATGGCCCAGCAGGCCCGGCACGGGACCGAGCCATGCCAGCGCGTGACCACCCGGTCCAGTGTGAACCGGTGGTCCAACCCGGTCCGGTCCAGCCCGACCCGGTTCATCTAATTAGCGAACCGGCCGGTTTAGCCGGCGGTTCGAGTCCGTTTTGGTTCGTGATTTTCGGTCCGAGTCTTATTCCGAAATTTAAATTATTTTCCGAGCTAAACCAGATCAGTAAGCATATCAGTATAATTTCCGGACTTAAAAATATTTTTTGTGAACCCTTAATGTGGTCCGTTATATCCGGATATCATATTAAGTCGAGTCGAGCATCTTAGCAGTTAAATTTATTGATCTGAGCATAGTACTTAGTAAATGTTTATATTATGTTACAGTTTGATCAGTTCACGACTATCAGCACTTCCAGTTTCATAACTTCAGTACATGTGGGGACTCAGACTGGGTATTACATTGATTATAATTACGATATCATGTTCAAGGTATGTCAATCATGTTTTCCGCTTGGAATGGACGTTGGCCGGTTCAGGTTGCCATATTTCCGTTCTAAGTTCTAGTGGCATCATCTACCACTAGTATGTGCACATGGATTCCGGCAAACATTATTATTATCATTATCATTATATCATGGCAGCCGGTAGATTCACGGGTCCGGGTCCGGTTTATACTTTTGACCAGGAAAATTCACGGTTATGTTATATGCTTCTGATCATGATGTTACTATTATTTTTGTTGTTTACTTTAGTATGAGTTCCTACGGAGTACAGTGGTACTCACACCCCATTTTTATAAAATTTTTCAGGTCATGGAGTCGGTCCGGAGCTGTGAAGTTGACGGGTGGATCGAAGTTAAATATTTTGCTGTATATTTTGCCACGCTATATTCCGCTGAACTTACTGATTGACAAACTTTGACTTTTGATCTGATTTCATAGTTGGATTATATAGTATGTAAATCCGTTTTGTTGTAAATTATTAAACGGTCGTAATGGATTTCTAAAAGATAAAATAAATGTTTTAGTGACGCTCCGAATCATTTTCTCAAACTATTTTAAAAAAAATGTCTTATAATCGCACTCTGATAATTAAGTTAGGGCGGGGCGTTACAGTTGGTATCAGAGCACGTTTCTACGTCTCTGAATGGTTTTAGAGTTGAAAAATTTTCAAATATTCTATCACGTCAAGTTTACACTCCGCCGACTACCGGGTAAGTGCTGATACATGCTTTAAATTATAAACAATTTACTATGCCTATGCTCAGTTATGTTATGGAAATCACTGTTACGGACTAGTTAAGGTGCTCGAATCATGTTCAGGGTTTATAGCCTAAAGTATTCATGATAGAATTGACAACTCGTCAAGAAATTTGTATGTTCCATAAATCAGTCAATGTATCTTATTCTTATACTTAATCATGTCAAACTCTTTCAACATTCAAATGTCGACTCATAGAAGTTCGGCTCATCGTGAACCTTCAATGTCCGAGGTAGTCGCGCAGTTTCGCGACTATCATCCGGAGAAGTTTTCCGGTTACTATGCCTATGCTCAGTTATGTTATGGAAATCACTGTTACGGACTAGTTAAGGTGCTCGAATCATGTTCAGGGTTTATAGCCTAAAGTATTCATGATAGAATTGACAACTCGTCAAGAAATTTGTATGTTCCATAAATCAGTCAATGTATCTTATTCTTATACTTAATCATGTCAAACTCTTTCAACATTCAGATGTCGACTCATAGAAGTTCGGCTCATCGTGAACCTTCAATGTCCGAGGTAGTCGCGCAGTTTCGTGACTATCATCCGGAGAAGTTTTCCGGTCAGGGAGATCCCCGCATTGTCGACGAATGGGTCCAGGGCCTTGAAACGATTTTCGAGGTCATGGACTGTCCTGAGCGTTATCGCGTGTTATGCGCACAAATCCAATTAACCGGTGACGCACGACTTTGGTGGAATGCCTACTGGGGTATGCGTCCTGGTGAAAAAGAAAAATGCACGTGGGACATGTTCAAGGAGTTAATCCGTGACAAGTATTATCCTCCTTATTACAAAGCCGAAATGGAGCGTCACTTTTTGGCGCTTAAACAAAATACTCGGACAGTGGACGAGTATGAGCGAGAATTCACTCGACTTGGAGCTTTTGTACCTGACTTGATGACTACAGAAGCAACAAGGACGAGACGTTTTGTCGATGGGCTTATTCTTGTAGTCCGTCACAACATCGTGGGCCATGGAGTTCAGTCCTATGCCCGTACCGTCACCATTGCAGGGGAGATTGATGCCAGCATACGAAGGGAAGCCAATCATGATCGTCTTCAGCCGATTTGCTCCACTCAATCCTCAATACCAAATGTTCAACCCGCAGCCGCCCCACAACAGAGGTACAAGAACAAGAGGAAGAACAGGGGAGGCCCAGATGACCGCAGGAACCGTCAGCGACAGCAGCAACCTATACCACCTTGCCCCACTTGTGGAAAGATTCACCGCGGAGATTGTTTGATGGGCCAGAACACTTGCTACTATTGCCGACAGCCTGGTCATATCCGACCGAATTGTCCACGATTGCAACAACAACAACAACCTCAGCAGCCCAGACAGCAGCCACCGAGACAGCCTCAGCAACAGCAACGCGGGAGACAGCCAGCACGTGTGTATGCAGTCGATCAAGCGGAAGCAGCTCAACACCCAGTACCATGTCTGGGATGATTATACTTAATGATGTTCCTGTTTTCGCTTTATTCGATACCGGTGCAACACACTCTTTCATTTCAAGACGCTGTCTTGACGCCATTGGAGTTCGTACTATTTCTGCTGTCGATCCTCTCGAGGTGAGTTTAGCCTCGGGAAGGAAGATAGTAACTGATGCTAAAGCAACCGATCTTAGCCTTTCTGTCGGTGGACGTATCTTGCCTACCGAAGCTTATGTTCTCGAGATGAGGGATTTTGACCTCATTCTCGGCATGGATTGGTTAACATATTTTCATGCAGATATTCGATGTCACGACCGGGAGATTACTCTCTATCTTCCGGGAGATGATTCTATTACCTTTTATGGTTCCAAGACTCGTATCTTACCACATGTTATTTCTATGGCGAAAGTCAGAAAGATGATGCAGCGTAATGATTGCCAGGGTTATCTTGTAAGTCTTGTCAGCGATGAACCGAAAGCACGGACACCTCACGATGTTCCTATTGTTCGTGAGTTCGTGGACGTGTTTCCAGACCAACTTCCAGGAGGACCACCTAACCGGCAGGTAGAGTTCTCTATTGATCTCATTCCAGGGGCCGGTCCTGTATCCAAAGCACCATACCGCATGGCGCCGAAGGAGTTACAGGAGTTAAAGACTCAAATTCAAGAATTACTTAAACTCGGTTTCATTCGGTTGAGTGTTTCACCTTGGGGAGCACCCGTTCTCTTTGTCAAGAAGAAGGACGGATCTATGCGCATGTGTATTGATTACCGGGATCTTAACCGGTTAACTATCAAGAATAAATATCCGCTTCCCAGAATCGATGATTTATTTGATCAGCTGAGGGGAGCTTGTGTATTTTCTAAGATTGATCTCCGTTCAGGCTACCACCAGCTGAGAATCAAAGAGTCAGACATTCCTAAAACTGCATTTCGTACGCGTTACGGTCACTATGAGTTCGTAGTATTGCCGTTTGGGCTCAGTAATGCCCCGGCAGTATTCATGGACTTGATGAATCGTATATTTCACCCTTATCTTGATCAGCTTGTTATTGTTTTTATTGATGATATTTTGATCTACTCGAAGAGCCAGAGGGAACACGAGGAGCACTTGAGGATTGTTCTTGAAACCCTTAGGCGAGAAAAGTTATATGCAAAATTCTCCAAATGCGAATTCTGGCTCGAGCGAGTTACTTTCCTTGGTCATGTTATTACGCAGGCAGGTATCGAGGTTGATCCATCCAAGATATCTGCTATTCAAAATTGGTCCAGACCCAAGAGTCCATCCGAGGTTCGTAGTTTTCTCAGTTTGGCGGGTTACTATCGCAGGTTTATTGAGGGATTTTCCAAAATTGCCCTCCCATTATCTCAGTTGACGAGGAAGTCTGTCGCATTCAAGTGGACTGATCGTTGTGAGTTCAGTTTTCAAGAGCTCAAGAGGAGATTGACCACTGCACCTGTACTAATTATACCGGATCCTACTCGGAGTTTCACCGTTTATAGTGATGCCTCGAGACAGGGTTTGGGATGTGTTCTAATGCAGGATGGCCAGGTCGTTGCTTATGCCTCTCGTCAATTAAAGCCGCATGAACAAAATTATCCTACACACGACTTGGAACTTGCAGCAGTGGTACATGCCCTCAAGATTTGGCGACATTATCTGTATGGCGGCAAATGCGAAATTTTCACTGACCATAAGAGCTTGCAATACATTTTTACTCAGAAAGAGCTCAACATGCGTCAGCGGCGTTGGTTAGAACTTGTGAAAGATTATGATTGTACCATTCAATATCATCCGGGAAAAGCGAATGTCGTTGCTGATGCCCTAAGCCGCAAGGTGAAGGGTGATTTGACTTACGTTGTTACTCAGCAGAACCATCTTATCCAAGAATTCGCTCGGATGCAAATTCAGATTGTTGATGCACTTCCTACGGCGATTATTGAGAGTGTTAGTGCTATGCAGGTTCAACCAACGTTAAGAGAGAGAATCCGGTAGGAACAGATGTCTGATGAATTTATTCGTGTTATTACTGCTAAAGTCCGTGCCGGAGGTGTCGAAGGTTTCCAAATGGGTTCAGATGGAGCCTTAGAATTTCGAGGCAGAATCGTGGTGCCGAAAGTCGAAGCGTTGCGAAAGGAAATTTTGTCTGAAGCTCATACCGCATCTTATTTAGCTCATCCGGGAAGTACGAAAATGTATCATGATTTGGAAAAGGATCGTTCTGGTGGCGTGGAATGAAGAAGGACGTTGCCGACTTTGTAAGAAAATGTTTAACCTGTCAACAAGTCAAAGCAGAACACAAGAGTCCCTTGGGCCTTCTGCAACCACTCGAGATTCCGAATTGGAAGTGGGAGGAAGTCACGATGGATTTTGTCACAGGGTTACCGAAGTCATCTAAACATCATGACGCTATCTGGGTCGTGGTGGATAGATTGACTAAGGTTGATCATTTTATGCCAGTATCGATGAATATGTCTTTGGATAAGTTAGCCGAGATTTATACCGAGGGAGTTGTCCGACTCCACGGAGTGCCTGTTACTATTGTGTCAGACAGGGATCCCAGATTCACTAGTAGATTTTGGGAAGGTTTGCACAAGGCGATGGGCACGAAATTAGAGTTTAGTTCGGCTTATCATCCAGAGACTGACGGACAATCCGAGCAGACTATTCAAACACTGGAAGATATGTTGCGATCTTTGGTTGTTGACAGGGGTGCTAAGTGGGAGTCGTTATTACCATTATGTGAATTTGCTTATAACAACAGTTATCATTCTTCTATTCAAATGGCTCCTTACGAAGCACTATACGGTCGTAAGTGCCGTTCCCCTCTTTATTGGGACGACGTCGGTGAACGCCGAATACTGGGTCCGAACAGGATCGCGGAAACGGCGGCAGATGTGGAGTTGATCCGACAAAGACTTCGGGCAGCTCAGAGTCGGCAGAAATCATCAGCCGATCAGCACAGACGTGATATTCAATTCGAAGTTGGGGAGCGAGACTTTCTTAAAGTTCGTCCATTCCGAGGGATCATTCGATTCGGAAAGAGAGGGAAGTTGCATCCTCGTTATATTGGCCCGTTCGAAGTTCTCGAACGAGTGGGCGAAGTTGCTTATCGTTTAGCCTTACCTCCTGAATTATCCAATGTTCATAATGTTTTTCATGTGTCCATGTTACGTAAGTACGTGTGCGATCCAGATCATATTCTTCAGCATACTGATATCCAGATTCAGCCAGACTTATCCTACGAGGAGAAACCGGTAGCCGTTTTGGACCGAAAGGTTCGTCGACTCCGGAAGCGTGAGATTCCCCTCGTTCGTATTCAATGGGATCGCCACGGTGCCACTTGGGAGCAGGAAGCTGATATTCGCGCTCGTTTTCCTGATTTCCAGTTTTGATGTATATATTTCTTATATTCCATGTATAGGTGTTCAGTTTGATATTTCCGAGGACGGAAATATTTTAAGGAGGGCAGATTGTAATAGCCTGTTTTTACCTAATGTAAATTACGCCCTTAATTTCGTAATGTTCATATTATTCTCGGAATCCAAAGTATAAGTCAATTTGTGTTCATTCACTCGATAAAAATATTATCGAAGCAAATCGTACTTAATCGAGCAGTAAATATGCTAATCTCGCGCTAATCGTGCGTGATCGTAAGCATAATTGTACTTAATGATTCCTTAAGTACATCAATTATGTTCATTTAAGTTTAAGTGTTCATTTGATCATCATATGTTCTTAAACATTGATCAATGCACGGCTAGGGTGCTTAATTTTCTTCTAATCGCCTTAATCTAGGTTAATCACGCATAATCGAGCCCTAAGCGTGCTTAAGTATTTAATTAGCTCAAGTGGACAGATTGGAGCAAGTCACGTGAATATCATCCTAATTGTACCATGTAACTATTTCACGCCAAGTGTTGGTGACTAAGCTAGAGAAAGGACACCTCGTGCCCTAGGGACGCGGCAAATGTCACGAGCTCATTGGCCGAGCATATTACTTCACATTTTCATCCAATTTCACCGCTTATAAATGCCAACGTTGGGACATATTTTAGCATATAAGCTAAGCTATTTCCTAAACATACCTTAAGCAAACTATAAACAAGATTAAGATCTTTTAATCCTAACTTCACGTACGCGCGCGAGGAAGAGAAAGGGACCGAACCAACACCAATTTCTTGCCAACTTTCTTCGGGCAATCAAAGGGTAATATGATTCTAACCCTGTTATGATGTTAATTGTATCATACCAAGTTCAAATTATGGGTCTAAGTTCATGTATTCTTCGAAAATGCTCTCGGGTGTGCATTTTAGGCCATATTATAACATCTCTTTATATAGCCAACTTCTCTCAAGCAAACCATGCATCATTAGTCTTTATTTAATGTGATATGTTCAGTCTTAAAAGATAGCCCGAGATAAGTTGTCGATTTGTTGATGAAATGGCCAAAGGAAGTGGACCGTGCACGTAGCACGCGCCCACGGGCCGTGTCTTACCCTACTAGGGTATCTTTCATTGTGATCAACTTTGTTAGGGACATTTATGTTCCAACAGCCTTTAAATGATAAATTATGGTCCAGTAACTCATGTTGCACGAGAAAAATTCATGTTTGGTCGAGGGTACACGTTCAGGGCCGTCGGACGCGCCTATCGCGCACGCCGTGGCCAATCACATCAATTTTCATGTTCTTATCATGACCCTCAGACTCATGTACATATAAATATGTTAATCATGTCAAAGGATGTCATTTTGATCAAGGTAAGTAGCCGCAAGGCCGGCAAGGGCCGGTCACGGACATGCGCCGCACCTAGCGGCCATGCTGTCCCAGGGTCATGTATGCGCGACCCCGCGCCAGTCGCCTGTGCCACGCGCAGTGACCTCGGGTCGTGCCAACAGCGCACCCGAGTGTGTCATACCATGCCTCAGTGAACCCGGGTAGGGTTCAGGGGCCTCGGGACGTGCCCAGCCGCACGCCCGAGCAATCAGTTGGCCCGGGACGTGCCCAACAGCACGCCCGCGTGCCCAGGGTCGCCCGGCAGCGCCCTGACAAGCCATAGTCGCACCCGAGATGCCCGAGTCATGTCTGGCCGTGTCTTTCCTCGCGCCAGCCGCACCTGGGTCGTGCCAGCCGCACGCCCAGTGCCCAGTCAGCCCGGGTACGCGCTTATCCCGCGTCCCTCGCGCCCGGCCAGTGCCAGGGCCAGTGCCAGCCGCACTGCCCGCGCCCAGCAGCGCCTAGTGCCGAGGCCAGTCATGCCTAGCCCGTGTCCAGTGCCGTGCCATGGCTCCAGCAGGCCCGGCACGGGACCGAGCCCAGCCAGCCCGTGACCACCCGGTCCAGTGTGAACCGGTGGTCCAACCCGGTCCGGTTCAACCCGACCCGGTTCATCCAGTTAGCGAACCGGCCGGTTTAGCCGGCGGTTCGAGTCCGTTTTGGTTCGTAATTTTCTGTCCGAGTTTTATTCTGAAATTTAAATTATTTTTCGAGCCGAACCAGTTCAGTTAAGCATATCAGTATAATTTCCGGACTTAGAATTATTTTTGTGAACCTTTAGTGCGTTCCTTTATATCCGGATATCATATTAAGTCGAGTCGAGCATCTTAACAGTTAAATTTATTGATCTGAGCATAGTACTTAGTAATTGTTTATATTATGTTACAGTTTGATCAGTTCACGACTATCAGCACTTCCAGTTTCATATCTTCAGTACAGGTGGGGACTCAGACTGGGTATTACATTGATTATAATTACGATATCATGTTCAAGGTATGTCAATCATGTTTTCCGCTTGGAATGGATGTTGGCCGGTTCAGGTTGCCATAATTCCGTTCTAAGTTCTAGTGGCATCATCTACCACTAGTATGTGCACATGGATTCCGGCAAACATTATTATTATCATTATCATTATATCATGGCAGCCGGTAGATTCACGGGTCCGGGTCCGGGTCCGGTTTATACTGTTGACCAGGAAATTCACGGTTATGTTATATGCTTCTGATCATGATGTTACTATTATTTTTGCTGTTTACTTTAGTATGAGTTCCTACGGAGTACAGTGGTACTCACACCCCATTTTTATAAAATTTTTCAGGTCATGGAGTCGGTCCGGAGCTGTGAAGTTGACGGGTGGATCGAAGTTAAATATTTTGCTGTATATTTTGCCACGCTATATTCCGCTGTCTTTCAGGTCATTCAATCTACTGAACTGACTTTCCTTTTTTCGGCCAAAATAGTTCATGGTAGAAAATTGAGTTATTTAGGTCCTGGACCAATTAGCTGAACTGTTGAAAAACCTGCTTCTCAGAAGACCTTGTTCACAGCACCCATCTCGGGTAGACAGTTTAGATTCTTTGAAAGCTATTATGGACTGCGCAACGCTTGTGGGTTGAATTTTGAAATAACCTCTCGTGTTGACCTACCCAGGTCGATAAAAACCGTTCGAGTCAATCTTCACGCCCTTCCCAGAAAGGTCTTATCATTTCCACCGACTCCTCATCGAGGGCCCCCCTAATCCTTTGTGCCGAGCCCGTGACAATCGCAGCTTCGGGATCCGGAGACTGAACTCAATCTTTTACACCGATGTCTCGTACTCCCTCGACCCAACTTCCCTCTTATAGTCTTATAGTAGAGTGAGTGATCCTCGGGTAGTTATCTATGAGTTGAAGCATGTTACAATTCAACAAGAGAAAGTGGAAAGAAAGAAAGCCGCCCTACCAAGTACACCCCGTGAGGTAGCCGACCACTACGATTCTATTCCTGCATTGCCTTTAGCCCCCCGCTTCTGACTAACCATGAGATGAACTTACTGATTGACAAACTTTGACTTTTGATCCGATTTCATAGTCGGATTGTATATTATGTAAATCCGTTTTGTTGTAAATTTTTAAACGGTCGTAATGGATTTCTAAAAGATAAAATAAATGTTTTAGTAACGCTCCGAATCATTTTCTCAAACTATTTTAAAAAAAATGTCTTATAATCGCACTCTGATAATTAAGTTAGGGCGGGGCGTTACAGTTGGTATCAGAGCACGTTTCTACGTCTCTGAATGGTTTTAGAGTTGAAAAATTTTCAAATATTCGATCACGTCAAGTTTACACTCCGCCGACTACCGGGTAAGTGCTGATACATGCTTTAAATTATAAACAATTTACTATGCCTATGCTCAGTTATGTTATGGAAATCACTGTTACGGACTAGTTAAGGTGCTCGAATCATGTTCAGGGTTTATAGCCTAAAGTATTCATGATAGAATTGACAACTCGTCAAGAAATTTGTATGTTCCATAAATCAGTCAATGTATCTTATTCTTATACTTAATCATGTCAAACTCTTTCAACATTCAGATGTCGACTCATAGAAGTTCGGCTCATCGTGAACCTTCAATGTCCGAGGTAGTCGCGCAGTTTCGCGACTATCATCCGGAGAAGTTTTCCGGTCAGGGAGATCCCCGCATTGTCGACGAATGGGTCCAGGGCCTTGAAACGATTTTCGAGGTCATGGACTGTCCTGAGCGTTATCGCGTGTTATGCGCACAAATCCAATTAACCGGTGACGCACGACTTTGGTGGAATGCCTACTGGGGTATGCGTCCTGGTGAAAAAGAAAAATGCACGTGGGACATGTTCAAGGAGTTAATCCGTGACAAGTATTATCCTCCTTATTACAAAGCCGAAATGGAGCGTCACTTTTTGGCGCTTAAACAAAATACTCGGACAGTGGACGAGTATGAGCGAGAATTCACTCGACTTGGAGCTTTTGTACCTGACTTGATGACTACAGAAGCAACAAGGACGAGACGTTTTGTCAATGGGCTTATTTCTGTAGTCCGTCACAACATCGTGGGCCATGGAGTTCAGTCCTATGCCCGTACCGTCACCATTGCAGGGGAGATTGAGGCCAGCATACGAAGGGAAGCCAATCATGATCGTCTTTAGCCGATTTGCTCCACTCAATCCTCTATACCAAATGTTCAACCCGCAGCCGCCCCACAACAGAGGTACAAGAACAAGAGGAAGAACAGGGGAGGCCCAGATGACCGCAGGAACCGTCAGCGACAGCAGCAACCTATACCACCTTGCCCCACTTGTGGAAAGATTCACCGCGGAGATTTTTTGATGGGCCAGAACACTTGCTACTATTGCCGACAGCCTGGTCATATCCGACTGAATTGTCCACGATTGCAACAACAACAACAACCTCAGCAGCCCAGACAGCAGCCACCGAGACAGCCTCAGCAACAGCAACGCGGGAGACAGCCAGCACGTGTGTATGCAGTCGATCAAGCGGAAGCAGCTCAACACCCAGGTACCATGTTTGGGATGATTATACTTAATGATTTTCCTGTTTTCGCTTTATTCGATACCGGTGCAACATACTCTTTCATTTCACGACGCTGTCTTGACGCCATTGGAGTTCGTACTATTTCTGCTGTCGATCCTCTTGAGGTGAGTTTAGCCTCGGGAAGGAAGATAGTAACTGATGCTAAAGCAACCGATCTTAGCCTTTCTGTCGGTGGACGTACCTTGCCTACCGAAGCTTATGTTCTCGAGATGAGGGATTTTGACCTCATTCTCGGCATGGATTGGTTAACATATTTTCATGCAGATATTCGATGTCACGACCGGGAGATTACTCTCTATCTTCCGGGAGATGATTCTATTACCTTTTATGGTTCCAAGACTCGTATCTTACCACATGTTATTTCTATGGCGAAAGCCAGAAAGATGATGCAGCGTAATGATTGCCAGGGTTATCTTGTAAGTCTTGTCAGCGATGAACCGAAAGCACGGACACCTCACGATGTTCCTATTGTTCGTGAGTTCATGGACGTGTTTCCAGACCAACTTCCAGGAGGACCACCTAACCGGCAGGTAGAGTTCTCTATTGATCTCATTCCAGGGGCCGGTCCTGTATCCAAAGCACCATACCGCATGGCGCCGAAGGAGTTACAGGAGTTAAAGACTCAAATTCAGGAATTACTTAAACTCGGTTTCATTCG